TTGAAGAGAACCACGCACGCAATTGAGTTAATATTTTCTCTTATTTCACACGGTATTTATTTTGTTATAGATAGTATCTCTTTATATCTATTTGTGAATTTTTATTAAATATTTACGGTTTTTTTCTTATATATAGTGCGTTTGGTTTAGGTATATACACTCAGATATTTTTTTAAATAACAGAGTTATATGTAAAAAAAGAATGTTTTGAATAAACGTTATTTTGTTTAAGAAGATCTAATGACAAATGAAAATTTTAATTTTTTTTTTAGATGATAGTTTTTCTTTTAATGGAATAATATATTTATTTTACTATAGTTTTGTAAGAAACTTTTATTCGAAACATTTTTTTATAATTCAATTATTCAAAAAAATAACTGTGAGTGGATACACTTAAACCAAACATACTATAAACATATTTTCTACAAAACGCTGCCGCATTTTTTTCTGATATATATTGTTCTATTTAATGTTCTCACGCGAAAATATGAGAAAAACTGCGGCGGAAGAGCAAGCAGCTTTTTTACAGGAAGCCGCTACGACTACGATTACTCAGATTTCTCGCCGAAAGGAGTGTCCTCGTGTCTCGGTTTTCCTCTTTAGCGATACTAGCCACCTTTTGCTCTATCCCTTTCGATTCTCTCCGAGTCGAAGAGGAGTTACCCGTTCGCGCGGGTCGAGAAGGGAAAGAAGGAAGTAAAAGAGGCGCACCCCCGGAGGTACGCGTAACCCCTGCGGGTCGCGGAGAGAACGGCGTTTTACCGACTATTAACTCACTTTTACCCCTGTTTCTTACCCTCGTTCTGCCTCTGGCTGAGTGAACGCAAGTGAAGGGAAGGGTCCGCGGGCGCCGACGAGATAAAAACGATAGGAAAAGGTGCATGCGGGGAATCCCTTTCCCTACTCTCCAAGCTCCTCGTTCGCGTAATCTCCGCTTTTTCCCCATCGCGGCATTTTCGCCCCCTTGCGATATTTCTCTTTCCGCTTTTCTTCCGGGATGGACGCGTGCAGGTAGCTGCCAGGTACCTGCGCGACTCCTCGAGGAGAGGCAAGGGAAAGGAAAAAAAAAGAATGCCAGAGAATCTCTCTGGGGGCCACGCTCGATTTAACCCCTGAGAAAAATCGCGCGATCCTTTATCCCCCCCCCCCGCCCCCCTCGGCGGAGTCGTCGCAGTTGATTTCGGGGGTTAACCGATTTCCCTGCGAAATTTGAAATCCGAGAGCGGTCCGTTTTTTTCCTACCCGTTTTTTCCTTCCGCTCTGATCTGAACGCGGCGCACTCGTTTAAAGGTTTAAGTATCTCGTAAAAATGGGCTCGAGGATACCGAGGATATCGAGGTGCCCTTCTTTCTTTTCCTTTTTTCTTTTTTTTTTCTTTTCGCGCGACTTCCGAGGTTAGAGGGTCGGATGTCAGTCGCCGTCTCTAATTTGAGTCCCGAGCATATCCGAATGATACCGATTATTTTATTATTCGATATCTGTGTAAAGTTTCTGACAAGTATATATTAAGGATGTTTTGGCTGTACAATAGCAGCTAAAAGCTGTCAAAATAAAAAAAAGAAACATATTTCTTACGTTTGTAATATTTGGAAAGTCTAATAAATAAATCTGGATTATAATAAGAATTAAAATATGACAAAATAACATGATTTTTAACATTTTGATAAAAGAAAATAGTTGTAATTAATATTTTTTTAAATTTATGACAAGAACTTTTGGTCGTGAATATTCCCTGAAATCAACTGCAAAAAAATAAAAAAACAAGTAATTTACAGAAAGATTTCGGATTACTATAAGCATTTTGCTACAATTTTTAGTAAATAACTTTTAATCGAATAAGTGGAGCTAAATCAAGTTTTGCATGAATATTTATTAGAATTTTGTTATATATGCAAAAAATTTTATTTCGCTGGCAATGTTTTTTCTTTGTTAAAAATTTGTTAATAATATAACTATATAATACGCGATTTTCCATAAGAATCAGTACAAACTTAAATAATTTCTAAACCGTTAAGAGAATTGTGCTCAGGTTTTGTACAGATATTCAGAAGAAATAGTAGATCAGTATACAAAATCTTCAATTTTGTCGTACATATGTCAATGTTTTGACATATGACACACAAATACTTAGACTAATGCAAAAATATTTGAAAATTTGTAATTATAGAATTGGAAGAGAGTGGAGAATGCTATTCCGAAAAGCTAGCACTTGATCTTAAAATTATACAAAAGATTTGGATTGTCATTTTTTAAATCGCTCCCTTTTTATGAAAAAGAACCCCTATTTTATATATAATTGATTCTTTCATCGTCCTTTACAAATTTTATTCTGCAAATCTTCTCAACTGGCAGCTCTATTTTTATTTCCGTGTAAAAAGTACGTTATATTTCACACATTTATATTTTACAAACGAAGAATCTTGGAAAGATGACTCTCATCGTAATACGTTCATCTCTGCTGCGATCGTGTATCGATGTGGCATGACTCGCCACTATGTGAGGCGATTTGGAGTAAAGACGAAAGAGGGAATGTCTTCACGGAGGAAGAGAAACACAGAATCCCCGCGGCGCGATACCTTCTCGAGATCGGGCCTTAAAAATCGAGTCGATTTAAAGATCCGGCCGCGAGCGAGATACACCGAAATGCGTATACGCATGCGATCCTTCAGGAATCTCCCTCGCGAGAATGAGAATTCATTTAATACTCGGGACGAGCGTCGAGACTTTTTTGCGCTATTTACGACGACCCTCCTCCGCATTATGCGTTTTATTAATTATAATCCTTTATTAATCGCGAGAGAAACGAAATCCTCTGCGCTTGATCGCGATACTTTTGAGGCACGAAAAATGTTCGCCTCGGGCGAATCCGAAAGCTGGAAACGCATCGTCGACGATCACGTTGAGCGAGAAATATTTTCCCACAGCGCGCATCATTTTTTCGTTATTCGGGGGAGTCCGCATTACGGTGGATATTCTCTTCATTTTTCATCAAACGATGCAGGCCTCTCGCGTTGATGGCGAGCGAATCATCCATCGTGATACACAGGATGCTTCGTTCGTCTAATGAAAAAAAAAAGTGGTAGAAAGCGCGTAAAAGAGCGAAAGGGAGAACTTCAACCGCGAGAAACGAGGAAGGATATAAACCGAGGAAAAAAAAAGAGATCCCAGGGGTTTCGTAATTTTAGTAGACATCATCGATCTAACCTTTCGGGAGAGTCCGGCGTATCCCTCCGGGGGGGTCTCGTGGTCCCTCTCTCTTTTTCTCTCTTAAGGAAGGGATTTTTAAGCCCTTTCTAAAGTCTCCTTCTATTATAGTTTTCTCTCTCGTTTCCTCGTTCTTCTCCTCACCTGCGATCAAGTAAACCTCTAGAAATCGCTAAACTTCGACGCTCTCAGGGTTTATTTGCGCGAATAAATCGCATCCTATCTACCTGGTATGCCCGGATTATATTTGTAAGGTAAAAAAACACCAGAAATAACTCGTACCTAACGTAGCTCATCCAATTGTTTGCGCGATTAGAACTCTATTTTTTTCTAACGGTCTACATTTAAAAAAATAAGTATTTGTTATTTCTTAGAAAATCATCTACTTAATAAACTGATTATTTTTTTATTTTGCACGAGACAAATCTTGTGAGATTATAATTATTAACAGAAAAGATTTTTATTACTTGAAAAAGAGAGATAAAAACTTAGCAAATCTAAAAAAATTTGAAAAGTATCTCCCACGTACAATATATAAATTAAACCTTTGATTAAAATCTGTCAAAAAGATGGATTAGTAATCACAGTCTATTCGATAGGGTATTGAACAGTATTACGATTTTTTTTTATTTCTCTCCGTAGAATAGAGTTCAGAGCAGATGTACCTGCCAGCAGTCGATTACGCGGCTTTTAGAATCGAAACGTCTCAATTTCACGACTCCAAACCCGAGAAAAAAACTTCCCCCGCGGTCTCTCCCTTTTGCTGCCATCGCCTTGGATCAACCGCACACATTCCCCGTAGAATCTCACCGCCTATTCCCAGTTTACTGTATCCTCGAACCAATCCGGAAGTCTATCACCCCTCCGTAAGATTTTTCCGAAATCAAGATAGAGAGCGAAACCAAGTAATTGTGAGGAGTTAGTCTTGCCAGAATTTTGACAAAGATCAGATATTCAGAATCTTTAGACGACTGTAAATATAGGTAGGTTTATAGATAGTTAGATAAATTAATGACCCCTCTCCTCCCGAATAAATCGAAATAATGACGAATAACAGCGCAATTTTTTTTTTATTTGTTTCTTTTAATAATTCCCCTATTATTATTAATTGGAATAGCAATCTCTGCTGGCTGGCAATAATAAAAATAATAATTCGAATCTGTAATCATGTATTGGCCCGAATTAATTGTTTCCGGCCGATAGGTTGTAATTTTATAACGCTTCTTATCGAGACTTGAGCATTTCCAGAGCGCGAAATTTTTGCGAAGTTTGTTCAATTCGAGAGACTTATACGAAGTGCCTTTTATCAAACAGATACGTACGAATTTCACTCGAGGTTACCGATTCGTTTTTTAATAAATAACACACATTCGCTTTTGAATCGGTCTGCTTGCTTCGTTGAAAACACATCCATCAATTGCTCCCGATAAGAAACCAAAGTTAATTATTTTATGGCTCTTACGATATTCCGCAACTCTCGTTAAAGCTCACCTCACCGAGACCCGTGACGACGTCAACCACGTCAACGCTCAATAACAGGTTGCTTTTTTCCCACTTCTCTCAGAGTTGATTTCAATAATACATTACAATCGCGCACTTTGGATTTCTCAAGAAAGAAATTGTCGATAGCGAACTGGCTTTGTCATTGATTACGAAACTAGTGTGTTTAGAATAGATATATCGTGAGCGTTCCAAAAAAATTCTTTCAAATTTATTATTTATATCTTCAAATTTAGAAATTTATTCAAAAATACTTACGACTCGATATAAACGGCATCACTAATCTTTTTTCGCAGGGAGAGTGAAGGTTAAGGAGGAGAAGGACGCCTCGTCGATGGCACCCGGAAGTCCACCCACGCCTCCGCATACCCCACAAAGTCCGCAACGCGCGATTCCGTCTCTCGGCAATCTCTCGCAATCCTGCCAAACGTCAAACGCAAATTCGCCGAACTTGCAGCAGCAGCAACCGCAACCGCAACAGCATCAGTCGCAGGAGCAACAGCATCATTCCCTGCACGCCATGGCTAATTCACCCCTGAATCAGATATTGGTTCAAAATCCGGCGCTGGCGCAACTGTTGCAGCAAAATCCAGCGATCCTGTCGCAGAATCCGCAATTGGCGCAGCTGTTGCAGCAGAATCTGCAAGTTCAGATGGGCAGCGTGCTCTTCCAGAACGTGAGACGGGAGGAGTCCGAGGAGTCTAGGGTAAGTAGGAGAGTCTAATCGTTATCTCTTATCCTGAAAACTACCACCAAAGTTCATTACACTCCGGCCGAGGTTATAGACTGAGACATGAATGCCTGAAACAGCAATCTTTACAATCTTACGTTCTAAAGATCATATTATATACCGTAACCGTATTATTATAGCCGTGGTATTCAAGTGTTATAATTTGTATGGCCGACTCGAGTGTCAGCGATTATTAAAAATTTAAGTAGCATTGAATTATCGCTTGCCATTGCGTCAAAAGCGAGACAATCGTGCGAAGCTGTCCAAAAACAATGCGCGATGACTCATCCGAGACTCAAGTCACCGTCAACATCGTAAAATTACCAACGGGAGCTATGTGAGCTTAACTGTACTAGAATAATTCAGCGCTTCCCAGAATCATAAGCGACGAACAATCGCTTATAATACGTCGTAATAAAAGTCGATAGAGACTTCGCCGTTTGAAGATTATTCATTCAAACTATTAATCGCGAGTTATTTATTTCTGAAAACTCGTTATTTCTAAAAATTCATTCTTGATAGATAGAAGAATGAGTGAAATATTTTACAATAAAATTTTTTTTACATACAACGGATATTTTATGAAACTAATATTTATTATCTCGAGATTGTGAGACGACCCAGACAGCACACAATATTTATGATAGTTTCTCAATATTTTTATAAATATTTTTATGATATTTATGATAAATCTTTATGATCTGTTAAATTTAAGATCACAAAAATATTTATAAAATATTCAAATAATTATTATGAATATTTTGTACATATTTTATAAATATTGTGTGCTGTCTGGGGAAGAGATTTTAATAAAGTAGAATTCAATGCGCATTATCAGTATGCCGTTATCGATGACGCGTAGAGATGCATATGCCAGGTCGCCAAAGAGAGGAGTCACGAAACCCGCGCGGACGACCCGGCTATGGGATCGCTGCTCGTGGAATCCCATACACGGAGAATTGAAATTATTCCCCGGATTTTTGTCGTGTCGTTTACATTATTTTCGCCTTTGAATATTAATGGGCATATGCTCTCCAGCGTTATGGCACAAGAAGTAACAACGGCGTATAATACTCGAGTCTTAACGTTATTCTATTGTTTGCAAATCAGCTCTATTGTTTTCTCATATACCTCTATACTCTCTCGCGTACCCTCTTTGCCCCCCTCCTCACTCCCCTCCTCGCTTCTCCTTCACCTCCTCCTTCATCAGCGTGCCTTCCCTCTTTCTCTCCCCTCTTTTATCGTCGTCTTTCTTTCTCTTATCGTTACCTTCCTTCTCGTCTCTCTATCCCTCTCTTTCTCTCTCTCTTCGATTCTCTTCTTCCTCCTCGTCGTCGCTCTTCTCGCCCCACCCCTGTTTCATTCCGATCTTTTTCTCTTTCTTCGCCCTCTCCCCATCCCCCTTGCGCTTGTCGCCCCGTGCCCCGATGCATACGTTCGCATTATATACATCGTGACGCACATTATTTTCCATTTGTTTCCTCGCATTCGCGTTTTCTCCCCGCGAATTTTTTCGCGAGCGATAAATGCATTAATTTAAGAAGCGATTTTTTTTTTTTTTTAAAGTCATCGTATTGACCGCCCGATATTATTATGCGCGATACGCTGCAGTTCGTAATATTGGGCACGTAAGGTCGCGGATAATTATGAACGAGGAATATAAATGTTCGATTAGAGATTGCAGAATTGATGGAACGCGATGGTCACGTACGTGAGGCGAGTTCTATTAAATTCGATGGAATTAATCGATCGTTCCGGCGAGCGCTCGATCGGCGGCGAGGAGTTTCTCCTCGTCGGGAGTGAAGTTCATAGATCGGGACAAAGAACCCCGTTGAACGATAATGCAACGGTGCGTCACGGCGTAATAGAATATGTTTATACGATATTTATATGCGCGTAAAGTAATGCGAAACTTTTCCACGATAAATTTACGCGACGAGATAAACTTTGTTCGAGTTTCAATAATAAGTCGTTTAATTCGAAGAATTGATTCGAGTCGGGAATAATTTTTCAAGGCGAATGGAAAATTGGATGGAAAGAGAAAGAGAGAGAGAGAGAGAGAGAGAGAGAGGGAGAGAGAGACAGAGAGAGGGGAGAAGAGACATAGATGGATGACGATGTTAATAAAAACTAACGAAGTAGTAACCGAAGTTCATAAATTCAACGATGCGGATCGAAACTCAGAGCTAAGGCTTCGGAAATCGTACGGCATTGGAATAATTTGAACCGCGATGGGGCTTCCGCGGGGGCAAAAGTGACGTTCCTTCGCGCGACGTCTCTCTCTCCGGGAGGCGCGGCGTAACCTTCTTCTTAGGTCTTCCGATTTTAATTTCGGCACGGAGCGAAGTGAAAACACGTCCCGCGAATGTGCGGGACAAATACGTACGGTACGACGGCGCGTCGATAAAAGTCAGTTACGCGAAATTGAAATGCCGTGGAAGATGTGCCCCGGGGATAATTTCATTACTCGGTAGCAGTAGGGGTTAACGAAGGGTATTAAGCGGCAAGGCATGTTATGAGCGGGCCTAAGGCCATAACGCGATTAGTTCGCGGAATGGCTGGTCTTTTGCACGATAGAATTTTACGGAAACATCTCGCGTCCGCCGCGTGGGCGACGAGGTCCCCCCCGTCCCCTACCTTCGTCTCGCCTCGCGCCCCCTCTCCCCCCTCCCCTTCCCCCTTCCCCTCTCCCCGTCCCCTCTTTCGCTCGCGTACGGCCCTGAGCACGCCGGTGCATTGTACATCGTAATGTATTTCTTTTAGGTACCGCCGACAATAGCGAGCCTGACGGCGATGAAGGTGGAGGCAGCTGACCCGAAGGTTTCCGGTGAGTTACTATTTCCTCCTCGTCGACGGAATTATCGGGATCGTAATTAGATTCGAATCGGGACTGCTCGCGTTCGATGACCCTGCTCGCGCGAACAAAAGGAAGGTGAAAAAAAAAGAGAACGAGGTGGAAAGAGAGAGAGAGAGAGAGAGAGAGAGAGAGAGAGAGACCGATCACTGCTGGCGGGAACGCGAGATCGTCGATCGACGCCTCGTCGCCGCTGATCTGGTTAGACCAGGTGATTTGTAATAGACGCTCTTGTAATCGTTGAGCGAATCTATGATTAGAACACCGGTGACAATGTTGTCGATCGTGTACAAGACGGTGACGCTTGACCTTTAACGTCATCGGGCTAGAAATATAATCGGTATGCGTTCGCGTTCGCCAAAAGTCTCGCGCGGCGAATGTATTTAACGGACGAATCGTATATAAAATTAAAAATCGCCACGTGTTACATCCAATTGCCGGCGATGCCATCGAGGAGCACTGCCAAAAAAGAAAAAAACTTAATATAACATTTTAATAGAGAGAGAGATAGAGATAGACTTTTCTCTTTTAACGTCATATAAAAACTTTTCAGCCTCTATTCCACTTTTTAATTTTTTTACAAGATATTTCCTTCCGCGAATTTATTCCCGTTTCTGCTTTAAAGCGGCGAATTTTCCAACGAGAATTATTAAAATCGGCCGCACGCCGTGGAATATGCTGGAGAAATCGCATCCAGCGTGCGCGCGCGCGCACCCGACACAGTGGACCCGCATCTTGCCACGTGACAAATCTGAAGCTATACGTAAGCCGGCCTGAGAGCACCGCCGTCGGCTCTCTCCCCACAGCCTTTATTTGCCTCGATCCTCGCGAACTCGTGAATCGTGGCGCAACCTGACGAATCGCCGCTTTCAGTGTTTTGTGCCCCGAGGGCTGTTCCCCCTTTATTGGAATATCCGCCCACAGCATTATGGGAATTATCAAGGAAATGGGATGAGTGCCAACGGCTCCCACGAGGGACTCGAGGGGGCGGGGGGAGAGGACGGGGGAGGGTTGTTTCAGTCGCATTGATAAAAGAAACCCGGGATTTATCAATCCTCTGTTTCCTTCCCATATCGTTTGAAGAATGTGTGTTTTAATTCTCCGGTATATATATGTATATGTACGGGCAACGTAAATATTGACCTAATTAAAAAGATAAAAAAGAGAGCTTTGTAGTAGGCTTTGATTTTATTAATCACCGTAAATGTAAGAACGCGTCGTATGATATACAGAGTGCTCTTAAATTAATCTTGATTGTAATAAAATATCGAGAATTCACGGATGGCTGACAGCTCCAATGGACAATATTATGTTATAAATACAAGATAAAAATACAGGATAAAAATATTTACACACACACACATATGTATATACGTGCGTTCTCTCTGCCATTATAAATCACGACGGTTTAACGGTTAATGAAAAAAAATCATTTGTATGTTAATTCTACATGTAATACGTCACAGTGTTTCCGAATAATATTTTATTTATATGTAAACCGAACTATTAAAAAAAAAAAAAAATTATATTTTTAATTTGTTTGCATTCGAAATGTGCTCACTGTTCCGCGTGACTGCGTAGAAATATCGCTCGCCGCATGCGGTCATAGCTCCGTATTACATAAACATGCCGATGTTTCTCCGTAAATAGGCATCATTAAGATCAATCGTTTCTCTTTCGCTGTCATTTCACTATTGGCACGCGAACCATCAATTTTCCTCGAAAACACCAGCGATGATTTGCCAATCGACAGTTTGTCGCGCAATTCCCGTTCATCGAAACCGTGAAAAGATTCCGCGACGGAAATCACGGCGATGATGAGGGAGAGGAACGGGGGGAGGGGAGAAGGGGGGGACGTCGAGTAGAGAAAGAGAGAGTGGGCGGCCTCCGTTGGATTTTCTGGTCCAGTGACATATTCTCGTAATTTCGTATCGGCCAATCAACGTCGGCCGGAGGATATTAAACGCGTGGTGGGATCTGCAACGAAATGGAATAAAATAAAATGTATACGTTGTACACGTTCGCGACGGTATAACGCGGGCTATCGGAAGAAAGAGAGGAAGAGAGAGAGAGAGAGAGAGAAAGAGAGAAAGAAGCACGAGATGAAGGAGGCAAAGGGTGAAAGAGAGACGCGAGTGCGCGAGAAGAAGATAGAGACGTAGATGTATGCGTATGTGAAAAGAGAAAGAGAAAGAAAATGCCTGAGAGAAAGAGACGCAAATGACGAAAGACGGAGAGAGGGAACGATAAAGAGAGAGAGAGAGAGAGAGAGAGAAAGAGAGAGAGAGAGAGAGAAAGATGCTAGCAATCAAAGCTGATTAAGCCCACAACTGGGGAATCTGTGGGGCCAGTGTCTCACGCCAATCTCGCCCAATCAGCCGGTTGGTCGGGGAGATTTAAAAAATAGAATGCCTACTGTCAATTGTCCCATAATTTAAATAAATCGAATAAATGGACAAAGTGGCCAATTAGAGTAGTTGCTGGTTGCTGCTTTAACGCATTATTCTCTCTTTCTCGCAGTGTCTTCGACTCTCCTCTCTCATCTCCTCTTCCCCTCTCCCCTGCCTTCCCCCCCCCCTCTCCCTTCCCTCCCGCTCATTCTTTGCCTCTCCTCGTCGAAGATGTGGTTCTATTTTCCCCCCTCGGTGCCCTCCCGATACGTCGCGTCGCCCCCGTCGTTCTTTTAATTCTCCGTGTTTGACATCGACTAGCGCTCGCGACCACCTTGTCTTGACCGAAGAGTGCCTTCATTATATCGTGAAGACGATGATCATCCAATATGTGCGACGGGTAAACGTATGATGCGTGCTTGCGCGAAATTGGCGATTAGGCCGTTAAGCCTCTCGGCAAACTCGATTACGGGCAATATGGAATTTTTCAGAATCGTCGCTGTTTCGAGCTGATCGAGCAGATCTCGAAACCTGCCACGAGACTCTCTGTTTGTACGCAGATAAATGTTGCCGCTTTCATTTTCACTTTGAAATCGATACTACCTTGAACACATTAGACTACTACGTATTCGCAGTCTCGGTTACAGGCATAAATTTTCCGGGGCCGTAAGCTTTATCGCGCTTATTTATCTTTAATAAAACTTGCCTGCAAACTAGCGGATAAATTTTCTGGAGACGGTGCTACTTCGTTATTTTGACATTAATATTCTGAGCGTAGACTAGGCTGTGTGCGTTTTCGTAGACTCGTTAAACTCGGAAATAAACCTAAGACCTGGATTGCGCTACTGTTTTATCGCTGAACGTAAATTCGATGATAAGCGAGGTACGTTGTCGGAGAGAAAAAAAAAGAACGAGAATGGTTCGTGCTCAACCATCTTGATCTATCTTGATGAAATGTGCGGTAGTACTTCTTTCTCTCTCTCTCTCTCTCTCTCTTAGATTCCGAATTCTACTTTTACTAATTATAACAATTTACGACTTTAACAATTATCACCATCCTACATACGCCATCAGTCTGCACCTGTTCGACATACATTTACGAAGTAGCTTAATGGCCTCGTTGATATCTGTACCCATCAATTTTGCACGAGTACAATTTAATTAAGCCTTGCTATCGCGCTACGATTACGAGTAATATCGTCATCGTCGAGTCCTAATGACCGTCATCTGTCAATTCGTAAAGGAAACGGCTTAATTAGCCGTCGCGCATAATTTTTAAGAATGACAGTATTATAAATAGTACCAAAAAATCGCTAATTTCAATATTTATATTTCGATTTCGATTATCGGGTGTGTTTTTAATACACAGCGCGCGTGCACAGTCATATCGAATAATTAAGTCACAATAAGGTAATTTTATTTCCATGTGAACGTTGAAAGCACACTGTTAACTAATAGAATCAAGCAAGATTTAAATGATTGTTTCAACATGTCTGTAATTACGCGAAACAGGCTCATTAACGTGAAATCACGAGAATCTGGCAGACGGATAATGTAGATGCTCGAACTTAGATATGACCTACGTAGGCTGCCAGTTTGAGAACAGACAGGCAAGCAGATAACAAATAAAGCATAAACAGGAGCTACGATAAATAACTGGTGCGCCTCTCGTTGCATATAGTGCCCTCCAGGGTCTCGCTCCTCCCTGATTCCTCGTATCTCTCTCTTCCTCTATGTACCCGCCCCCGCTGCATTACCTGCGCACAGGATCCACATATGTACGTGCAACGATTCAGGCACCGAGGAGTTCAGACCTCGGCGACCTTTAGTTTCCGTTCATAATGCGCGGACCCCGCCGCGCGACCACAGGAAATTAAAGAATATTTTGGCCGCCTTCGTACGTGCTTTTTGGGAAGCAACCTGGTCGCGAGAGACGTATTTTGGGCTATTATCATGGCACATCAGTTTTTAAAGGTTGCTGAATCACTCAGTATAACCATATGTAGCTATGTATTAAGAATTATCGAATTAAAAAGTGGCATTTTTTTGCGAAATTATTTTCCATGAAAAGAATAATTTCTTTGAAATTATATTTAAAAAGATATGAAAATGAGAGATTCTCATATATATTATTATATCATCTTTTTATGTCTTTAAAAAATAAAATGTAAAGATAAAACAATTAAAAATATTTATTCAACATATATACTCTTGAAAATAATTTTTTTTTTTTTTTTAGTAGTCGTTTCTATGAAGAAAGAGAATAATTCATTTGCATATAGTTCTGCCAATTAAAGAATCTTTTGGCTGCCTTTATACATGCTTTTTGGAAAGCAATCTGATTGCGAGAGACGTATCTTGGGCTATTACCACAACACATCAATTTTCACAAAATTGCTGAATCACTCAGTATAACCATATGTAGCTATATAATTAGAATTATTAAATTAAAAAGTGACATAAATTTCTTGCGAAATTATTTTCTGTGAAAAGATTAGCTTCTTTGAGATTATATTAAAAGGAATATGCAAATGAGAGATTTTTATTTTTATATATATTATTATATCATCATTTTATATGTCT